CTGACTTTAGTAGGAGGCATTAGCCTTTGGACTCAGGACACCTCCACTGATGAGATCTAGAGGCACAAGAGAGCAATTAGGAGATACCTCAGGAAAGAACCTCAGAGGAATAAGACAACAGCCCTTTGCATAGGGGTCCCTTAGGTGCCTATGTTCTGGTCCTCTCCAGTGCAGGAAGAGCAACAGGAGCAGGTTGTAGTGGGGGCAGGTAGGGTGAGTGGAAAAGTCTTTGGGTGTCTGCAGTAGGATCCAAATATGTGCTCTCTGTCCTTGACACATGCAGTTCTTCGCCATTCCAGCCTATAACCTCCATTCTTGCTTCGAGGTCCCATTTGGAAATAAATAGCTTCTCTCCAAAACCATCATGAGCATTTAGGGAAGGGTTTATTTCTCTCCTCTGCTCTGTCCTGCTTATGTCTGTATGTTTCAGGCCTTCTTCAGACTCTGTGTTTGCTACTTTTAATCTTCCACCACAATAAACCACAAGCGCACAGATTGATCACATCATCTTGTATCTAGACACCCAACCCTGACAGTGTACCTAGAGTACCTAACCCACATTCTGACTAAGGGTTCAGCTTGCACTTTGTAAGTGCCCATGAGCCAAGATACAATTGCTGCCATGGCCAGAAGGGAGGCCATAGCCCAATCAGGGCCAACTCTCAAGTCCTCAGAGGGGCTTAGACACAGAATGGGACCAAACCTTCAGGTGACAGTCATTCTTCCAGAGATAAACTCTCACTGGCATTGGGAAGAGTTAACTAGGCTTAATGCTGTTAAATGATGATGGAGGATTAAAATGGTGAGGTTTCAATTCTTTACACATTCTTCTAAACTCAGTTGGCAGAGAAGCTTCAACATTGTCAGTCCTATAACCTCATCCTCCTGCTACCTCACCCCAATGTCAGAGCCTTTTCAATGAAGCAGAAAGGCCCCACTCATGAAGCAGGGCTACTTACATGTAGTCATGGAAACAAAAGCTTACCAATAGCTTCTATAAAATTGCTTAGTGATTAATTACAAATCATTACTATACTCTGTCCCAAGTAACTTTTTTGTTTTAGGTGGTTGTTAATAGTCCAGTGGAACTATTTTGCTGAGGTGGAACAGTTACTGACCCATGGACAGACCAGTTAGACCTAGTTGATAGCACATGCATTTGGAGAAGAACATTGACCTTACTCTGACTTTGTCTACATCATAGTCTTAAGATGATCTCCACTGCTGGGTGGGATTTGCCCTGCATTTTCTGAACATGCAAAGCATAAAGAAGTATGTTCACCCTTTAGGAGGCTACTCTAAAACCTTATTCCTCACTCCATCCCCCACAAGTAAAATAACATCGTCCTGTGTGTTAAGTCCCTTGTGATCTCACCCTTGAGGTCTTTTTGGAACTTGCTGTTGCTTTCTCACTTGAATAAATCTCAGCTTCAAAATCAGTACTCGTGATGTCTTTTTTGAGTGATGAACCGAAAAGCCTATACTACTAATATCTGCTAACATTTCTGACACCCAATGTGAGGTTCACAGGGTAAAATAACCAAACAATCAGTGGCCCTTTTGGAAGATGACTCCTAACATATTACCCAGGCCCAAAGGAAGGTGGCATACAGGCATGCATCTGGCTATTCTCAGGTACCCCACTTGGGCAGTGCACTATGAGCAGTGTGCCAACTGGACTGGCTGAGTCTCAGTCGTTAGCTGACTTTCTCCCCTCTGCCTCAGGGAACCCCATTACCTTTATCATTGCGACACAGTCTCTTCAGCTTGTTCCTTGCATCCAGAGTTGCTGCTTATGCAAGGAAATAATATTAACCCCTTTGGGAGAAGAGAGTAACAGTCCCCAGCTCCACCCCACTGATAACTGTTGATACACCTATAGGAACATTTAATCTCATTTCAAAAAAATCTCATTTTTTTGGTGATATGGCAATATAGGTGTTTGGGAAATACATATAGACACAGGGAAAAATAGATATGATTAAGTCACCAGCATATGGTGACTTTTTTACTTGTCTGTTGGCCTTTGTGCCTTGCTATTGTGTTCCCTTCAAAGATGCAGTGGGCTACATTTCAGGCTGACTGTTTTTGGTGATACTCAAAGTTGAGGACTTCATCCCTTCCCCTGAGAAGCTGATCATCAGTCACAAATAACATCAAAATGGGAAATCAGGAAAGTATTCCCAGAGAATCACCACTGGGGTGCACTCTTGTGTTTGGATCAATTCAAGCTAGATGGTTTTTAAATAATGCTAATTTTTACTTGTAATATAGTTTGGCTGAAATACACATTGGAGAATTAGGAAACTTGGCCAAACAACAGTTCCATTAATTATGGTACCATCTTGAAAATGGAATGTTTTTGCAAAAAGGAGGAATAATGGAATAATGTCCCTTGTATTCAGACCTTTATAAAATTGAGAATGTGGGCCCTCCCTGGTGGTACAGTGGGTTAAAGTGTTGCACTATGAAGCTAGCTGCAGCTGCTTCAGCATAAGCTCAATCTTAGGGAGGTGACCCACGTGCATGGCATACCTCTCCTGTCTTGTCTGATGCTCTCCTCACCAGTGTACTTCATCAATTTGCCTGTTCTGTTCCCCACACTGTCTCCGGTGACTCCTCTCTCCACCCTGAACCTCTGGCCTGTACTCCAATTCTGTATGAATAAATAAATCTTTAAAACAATAAAAAATAAAGTTGAGAATGGGTACAGAATTGTGTACAGTATATAAAGTTTTTGTGGTGTTCAAGAATTTCACCCTAATATTCTGGAAGAAATATGTCACAAGTCTCCCCTGGGCCACTGCACCCCTACTTCTTTACCCTGACCCCCCTCACTGGCCACAGGGCTCTTCTGGACTCACCAGAGACTGAAGTGTCCCATCTCCTACTTGTTTAAGATTAGAGACCAAGTTAAAACTTGTGTGAATCTACCTTCTACGGAAAGTGATGGGTAGGCAATAGGAAGTTATTTGGGTGTGTGTCCTCTTTTAATTAGTGACCTAACTCAATAAAAGGGAAGATTTGGAAATTTTACTAAGAATCCTGATGGTTTGGGGTGAATTTAAGTCGTGGGTAGGTTACACATTGACAAGGAGAAGATGTGCAAGTGTTATTTATACATTACTACATCCCTGATAAAAGAGCCCAAATCATCCTCAAAGCCTGAGAAGCTCCAGGCCGCACAGAAGTGGACCAGAGGCCCCGAAACCATGGCGGAGGGGTGGCTGCGCCTGTGGCCTCTCCACTCCCTGGCCAGATGGGCTGGGGCTGCGACCAACCCCTACACCGGGGGCCCTACACCCTCGAGGCCAGCCCACTGGGCAGCCACACCGGCCACAAGACAGCCACGACGCACAGGGAAAAGCCCGGCCCAAACATCAGGCTCCACATGGACACGAGCCCATAGGGTGCACAGCCCTGGGGGTGGTCCCCGCTGTAGCATGAACAGAGATGAACTGCCTGCAGACTGGAGCTGACTGCAGTCCTGGGGGGCAGGCGTGTGGGCTGCGTGGTGGGCACCAGGGGCTTGAGGCCAAGGTGGGCAGGTGTCTGCTGACGGGTGACTCTGGCAGTGCTGCTGGGGGCCTCGTGAGGGCTAGGGCAGTACACCCAGAAGTGGTGGAGCCCCATGCCCTGGGGGACAAGGCCAGGTGGTCTCCTGCACCCTGTGAGCCCATCCTCAGCCCCAGGCCCTCAAGCCAGAAATGGCCTGCTGGCGTGGGGGAGGCCAGACAGCCACCTCCTGACAGGCACTAAACACACTGACCTGAGCGCCAAGGCGGGCACCATCCAGGCAACTGTCCTTAGCCTGGGCACTCAGGGGCGGCGGGCAGTGGGTAACTTGGGGTCGTGGGGCAGGCCAGGCCCCATGGGCTGGGGGCTGCAGTGTGGAACTGAGGGCAGGTGGTGGAGAATGGTGTGGTGGGACACACTAAAGGCCTGTCGGGGCGCGACCACTGTGTGGGGTGTAGCCAGGGCCAGGCTCCGGGGCTCATGCTGCGGGAGGGGCCCTGCAGTCACGTTTTGGGTGCCAGGTTGCTCAACGAGCCTCTGGGGCACAGTGGCCTCCGCAGCCCTTCTCCCCAGGCCACCTGGTGCAGGCCCACCCCCCACCCCAAGATAACAACCCCCAAGCAGACGTGGCCGTGATAGTGGGTGTGGACAGCTGTGGGGCATTGCCCAGAGCCCTACTTCTGAGGTGCGGGACAGCCAGGGGTGTGGCTGACCAGCTCAGAAACGGGCGAGATGGTAGCAGAGTAAAAACACCTGGACGACTACTTCCAAGGTCATACAGGCATATATAAAAACAGACTATAGACTTACATGCTACGAGTATCAACCCAAATGAGAACACCCTGGACTCACTAGAAGGAAGATAACTGAGGGATAAGTGGAGATTGGGGAGTTCCCATAAGGGAACTACTATCCGGAGATGCCTCAGACAGGATAGGCAGAACCCTGCATTTCTGATCAGGGAGCGGCAGGCTAGTGCTGCTAGTGCTGCAGACGGAGCCTTCCCGCTCATTCAGCTCCTTTAAAAATCTTGGTGCCTAGACACCAGGAAGCACTGCAGAGGGAGACTTACCACAGTGGCAGTGGCAGCTGCACAGCAGCAGTGGATTTTTGTCTCAGCCTTGCTACAGCCCTGGAGATAAATTGAGACAATTCAGCTAGGGAGAGGAAACCAAATTGTATGAAAAGACTGCAGCTCAGAACCAGGAGTGCCCAGATGCGAGGATATGCTGCAGATGTGTTGCTGTTCTTTGCCCCAGCAGCCCCAATAAAGCCATGGATATAAACTGAGACAATACAGCTAGGTGAGTGGATCCCAAGCTGTTGCAGGGGAAGGGGGGAGAAAATGCTCTATTTAGAGCCCAGGAGGTGGAGAAGAATTGGCAATTGGGGCTCCTCTAGCCCTACTGGCATCTCCTGCCCCCAAAAGAGAGATCTGAGACTAGGCGACATTAGGGTATGGTCAGGTCTTGGTACCATTTTTAAAGCATGGTCAGCAAGGCTTACAGAGCCCTTGAGTTAAAGAAGGGGGAAAAAAATGGTTAGGCAGGATTCAACCACAGCCCCAACACTAGGAAGATGCAGCAACTTTAACAATCTTCAATGGGCACATGCAACATAGAGAGGCCCTAGGAAGTGACTCAAAAGGGGAGACTTGCTAAGAGGTCTACCTGCTTACCGCATCTACACACAAAAACTGTGGTAAAACCCTGGAGTAAAGAGATATGGCTGGTCTCTGTGAAAGGACCTCAGCAGTGGGGAAGCACTGATCTGGGGGGAATGCTTGGAGTAGACACAAAGAGCCCTGAAAGCTCAGAGGGAGGACTGGAAGCTTGCTCAGCTGGGAGGATTGCACCCTCTGGCACTCCCCTGCACTCCTGTGGGGAGGGGGAGATCCCGGCCCCACAGCAGAGGCCTGAAGACTTGTGAGCCAGAAAGGCTCACAATATTTAGAAAATAAACAAAGCCAGCCACCA